TTTTTTTTTTTTTTTTGTGTGTGTGTGTGTGTGTGTGTGTGTGTGTGTGTGTGTTTTGTTGTGGTTTGTTTGTTTATTTGTTTGAGACAGGAACTTACTGTATAGCCCTGGCTGGTCTGGAACTCCCTCCATAGAACAGACTGGCTTTGAACTCAAAAATGTTTGCCTATTTCTGCCTCCCAAGTGATGAGTCACCACACCTAAGGGGGGATTGTAAGGTTTGTTTCCTTGTTTAATTACATTTGTTTATATATTTATTGAGTGTGTGGGTGGGCAGTACATACTGTGGTGCATATGTGGAGGTCAGAGACAATCTATGGAAGTCGGTTCTCTTCTTCTGCCATGTGGGTCCAGGTGTTGAATTCAGGGTGCCATGCTTGGCGGCAAGTCTTTTACCTGCTAAGTCATCTGGCTGGTTCCTCATTCTGTTTTTGTTAAATAACTAAGACTTGTTTCCATTTGTTCCTTTAGAATAGTTGTGAATATGTTAATTCTTTACTACACAGAGGACATTAGCTTCCTTTGAATAACTCTAAGTTTTTCATCAAGTCTCTATAAATTTACAGTCTCAACACTGTTCAAAAGTCCAAAGTCTCAGCAGGGTGGTAGTTGCACACGCCTTTACTCCCTGCACTCAGAGGGCAGAAGCAGGTAGATCTCTGAGTTTGAGGCCATCCTGGTCTATAGATCCAGTTCCAGGACAGCCAGGGCTACACAGAGAATGCTTGTCTTGAAAACCAAAACCAAAACCAAACAAACAAAAAGTTCAAAGCCTCATCTAAGGCCAAGGAAGTCTTAATTGGGAGCCACTTGTAAAATCAAAAAGCAGGGTTCCTACTTATAATGTATAATGGAATAAGCATTATTCCTAAAGGATAAATGGATGCATAACAAAAACGATCAGACCAAAGGAAGACTGAAACTTGTCAGGGCAGACACCAGACCCTGAAGCTCGGTGTCTGGTGTCTGGGGCTGTGGCAGCATCTTCACTTCTCCAGTGGACTTGGGTAGCACCATCTTTCCAGTGCATAGGGGCCATGTGGTCTTTCCATTGGGCCTACCTCACTTGATGCCTTCTGATTTTCTTGTGGAACTTAACACATTTCTGGCATCGCCAGTGTCCTAGGGTTCTCCATTGTACCTTTGGTTTCCTCCTCATAGTTGCATGTACAGCCTACTTAGGGTATCCCTGTGGGGAATTTGATCCTGCTATAGTCTGGCTTTCTGGAACCCTGGCTCAAGTCTCCAAGATTTCCCACTCTTGCATT